TATGCTTGAACGATTGATAGATGGTCATCCTGATCACCGTTTTCAAGCTTTATTCGTCTTCTTTTGACCCTGTAGCCAACCGTAGAACTCTTTTATCATCAAATCTTCATCGTGAACCTTCCGGAGACCTCTTAAGCTCTCAATTCACTCTTGAATGCTTCTCAACTCATCCTGATTGATTCTCAAGTGTCAGGCTCAAATTCCCTGATTTTGACTCCAAACAACACAAAACCCGAACCAACGTTTGGTAAACATAATTTGAGCTAAAATTGAAACTTGTGACACCAAAAAGCTAGGAAAATCATCAAAAGCCGATTCCAACACACATCAAATGCATGTTGAAATACGAACTTATCAAGGAGGAGGAGGGTCTAATTAACTTTAGTTGATCATTTCTTTAGTTGGAGGGTCTAATTAACTTTTCTCATATACTTCGAGGGCCGATTTGACAGTTTTCTCATTTGTTTTCAATTTTCTTATTTTTATTTTTATAGGGTAACATGCTAAAATTATTTTTCAAAATTTTATGGAGTTTTATACTCCCTCCGTCCCAATAACATTGGGACAAGAGGGAGTGACACACAAATTTATAAAAAGTGAATTATGTGGTTGATATTGAATTGAAAAAGTAAGAATAAATTAAGAATGATTTAGAGTCAAACAAATTTTACTAAATAAGGTATGAGACAATCTTAGTGGGACGAATCGAAAAGGTAAAATGAGATAATCTTAGCGGGACGGACGTAATAAGATTTATCAATTGTTTTAGTTTTTTTTAAATAACCTACTGTAGCATGTTAATTGATTGGATTGACTTTGTTTTTAAAGTAAATATACATATATGACACTTTTTTAGTATAGAGATTTAGGTGATGAATTAAAAATAATAGAATGATCTATTTGACCTTTTCCAACGTACGAAACAATAACGAGTAGAATCAATGATAAATGGAAAAATAGCAACATAAACTGAAAAAGTTAAAGCAAAGATTGTTTACCTTACATATTGTCATATTGAGAGTACATATGGACGTTCGTTAATCCTTGAGCCCAGCGTATAGTTCATTCCCATTCCGAAATTAACCCTATATGAGCTTCGGTTTCTTTATAGCTAGGAGGGTGTATACTTCACTTTTAGAGATCTGATATATATGTATGTACACTTCACTTTTACAAGCACCGAATTCTAGTATATATTTTTCAATTCGAGTGAGGTATAAACTAACAGAAGGTTTGATGCTCATCAACTAATACCTAATTCAAGTGTATATTTTTCTTGTTCAGTGGCTTTAATTCACTCGAAGTTAATGTGAAAATTTATTACGGAGTAACTTTTTGTTAGTGGAAAAGATTTCATTTTGAGGTAGATAAATCAAACTTAGAAATATATAATACGGTGTATATGTATATCATATACACACACGTATCATAATAATATTTAGTCCAATTAACAAATGAGGTAGATAAATCAAACTTAGAAATATATAATACGGTGTATATGTATATCATATACACACACGTATCATAATAATATTTAGTCCAATTAACAAATTATATGTAATTTCATATTATTCGCCACTTTTTCAGCTCTTTTTGCCAAACAATTTTACTTAATTCAGCTAGCAATTCAGATTCAACACTTTAAAGTTCAGCTCCAAACAATTGTCTCTGATTTCAGACTATAGCTCATATTTCAGACATTAGCCTTCAGTTTAAGTTAGTTGTGCCAAACATAGCCAAAGAAGTTACCCTTTGTCCCACAAAATAATCCATGTTTGACTTGGATCAAAATGTGAGAATTAAATGAAAATGTTTATTATACAAAACTTTTCAAAAAGAAATCTAGAACAATTTTTTGAAATGACAAAAAAAAGTGAAAATAGTTTTATGGGACAGAGCAAGTAATCAACAGAGCTTGATTAATGGCCATTAGATTAGAGTTGGGTGAAAACATTGACCCCAATCCAAATTTGGACACGTTCGAGGTAAACCCCAAAATGATCGATGACCATGTCCGTTTTTTTTTCCGTCGTGTCGATATTTTAGGGAGAAAAGGGGCAAATAAGGTCATATACTAATAAAAAAAGGTCAAATAAGACCTTATTTAAGAGGCCCTGTTTGGCCATCTCCATTTGGGGTGATTCCCGGTTAAATTTTTTGATGAAATTTTTTGAGCATCTTATTCAGTAAGTCTAGTTTACTCATACTAAATTTCAGCTAAAACTTCAATCGGGAAGGCATTCAAATGAATTCTTGAAGATAACTGCGCAGTTAAAAGCGCAGTTATCTTCAAGAATTCATTTGAGTGCCTTCCCGATTGAATTGTTAGCTGAAATTTTGTATGACTAAACTAGACTTAATGAATAAGATGGCCAAAAAAATTTATCACAAAATTCCACCGACATTCAGCCCAAATGGCAAAAACCGGACAGAGCCTCATAAATAAGGTCTTATTTGACCTTTTTTGGTTAGTACGTGATCTTATTTGCTCCTTTTCCCTACTTTAGGTTTACATATGAAATCTTGTAATGGGTCCCTTTGTATCATGATTTGGAGGCTAAAAATGAATTTTCTGATAGTGACAGTCATAATGTTGACCATTTTAATTAGACAACTAATTTTCTAAATCAACTAAATTTACAAAATACTTCACAGACCATTATTTGTTTTTCAAATTAAATTCACTGGCATCTAATCAAATACATTAAGGAGTGTTAACCACAAACACTTCCTACAAAAAAGTGATACAGAAACTTGAGATTAGAAAAAAGGATTTTGGTTATGTTTGGCACGCAAAAGTCAAATAAGCACTTGTATTATTTTGAAAAGATCATCTAAGCCCATGTACTAAAAAAACTATCATTCAAGTACATTTATTTTTAAAAAAACATCAAATAAGTCAATTGACCTGATAGCAACCTATAATAGCAAGTTATCCATATTTTCTTTTGTTTTTTTCTTTTTCTTTTTCTTCAATTATTGTTTTTTCATTTTTCATTCTTTTTTCCTTTCTTCACCCGCTGCTTTCCCTCCTCCCGCCATAGCATAATCTCATTGTTTGTTCTTTATTTAATTCTCTCTTTCAATTACTGTTTTTTCCTAAGTTCTCTTCCGTTTACTCCTCTATTGTTCCTTATTTAACTTTTCTTTCTTTTTCTATGCTTTTTTTTCATTTTCTTTCTTTTTTCCTTCATTCCTCTACGGATATTTTTAATTCAACATTTTTCAGTCCCATGCCCCCCCACACAAACTACCTCGTTTTTAAACAATTGCGGCACTAAAAATTCACAGTTCATGGTTTATTCTCATTTTAATATTTCAAAATGTGATTTTCTTAGAAAATTATAATTAATGGAATCAATTATATGCTATGCTACATCTGCTACATGTTTTCAAAGTCCTTCGCACTGACATATTTTCTACAAAGTTAGGCGGGAGCGATAACAAGTCCATTAAAAAATATAGGAAGTACAATTTTTACAAAAAACGAATGTGGGGTACAAAGAGTTAAACAGACCAGAACGGACCAAAATTAAAAAGACTTGATGAGACCAGATTTAAACAGATCAGACTAGACCAGAGTTTCGTAGTTATAATATACAAAGAGACCAGACTTCCATAGTTATAAATACAAAGAGACCAGACATTACCAGTTCAGACCAGATTTAAACAGACCAAATCAGAAAAGACCAACAAATTACAGTCCAAGTAAAACATTGTAACTCAAAGACTAAAGTCTAATTTCTCCAAAAAAAAAAAGTAATAATTCACATCTTTATTTTATGAGAATAAGCATATTTATGGGTCAGAAATGATAGTTTGTTGAAATAATTAAATAGGAATGTCAAAAACATTTTTTGTGAGAAGACAATAAATTAAAAAGAAATAAGGGGAAAAAAGAAGGAGAAAAAACTAAAAAATAAATCGCACCTTAGTAACGTCAGGAGCCTGGGATGATAGTGAAGAAAATAAATGACATGCTTGCAACAAAAGATGGGCCACCATTGAGAACAAGAAAGGAGAAAAAAGTGGGCAAACAATGAGATGATCCCAGAATTAGGGGTGGGTTCGTAGAACCGAAAACCGAAAACCGAATCGAATCAAATCAAACCGCGACCAAATAAACCAAACCGATGAAAAACCGAAACCGAACATAAAAAACCGTACCGAACCGAACATGTTTGGTTTCGAATCGAACCGAAACCGAAAAAACCGAAAAAACTGAAATATTTATAAATATAAAAAAATCATTTATTTTATATGGAGTATATGGCCGGTCATGTGGTCAACGCTCAAGACCGATACTTCATTTTAAGTACTGCGTAGCTACTAGCCCAAAAACATAATACGGAGTACAACTCGCAGCCTGTAGCCCACTACTTCTTTAGCCCGCTTCAGTCTTCACAAAGGATTATGAGGAATTGAGAACCCTAGCAGTCTAGCACATCGATCAACACTCTGCTCTTCCATAATCCATATTCTCTCCTTTGTCACTCTTTCAGTGATTTTCATGGCTTCATTAAAGGAGTGGTCGATATAGTAGGTGTGCTTCTCTTGCCCTTTGTACTACTTTAATTCAAACATTCGAACCTCCTGACAAAACCATCTAAAATTTTCTTTCTGTTCACGTTGGTTCTTCTGTGTAGAGCAAAACTTATATCCGTGTTGGCTCTCTTGCTCCGGTGCTGCTCCCAGCGTAGAGCAAAGCTCCTCCTGTCAAATGTAAAGATCGAGAAGGCATGTATGTAAATTTCAGAAACTATTTAATTCCCATTTCTCGTTCAGTCATTGTAGTATTTGTTTTCCATATATGAATTATTAATTATGTCTTATCTACAAAATGATGTGTTACTATGACGAATTATAGTTTATCCAGCATCTTATTTAATACTGAAAGTGATTCATCATTTCATTGTGCATATTGATGGAAAAAGTTTTATACTTAACTAAGTTAACTTAATTTCCATTACTTTTCTTTTTTTCCAGTATTGGATATTATTTGTGCACTGAAGTTAAGATATGAAGAGGGCTTTTTCTTCCCTTACATCTAAGGGATCTACTGCATCCAACACTACGAAAGCAAAAACTTCACATCTTCAGGTTTGTTCAAATGTATATATGTGGTTCACTGATATGTGATTATTATTTTTGGCAAATGTCTATACGAACTTCAGATTTTTCATGTTTGTTCAACCTTATTTATGTGATTCAGTGATTTTTCTTTATTATTTTTGGAAATTATTTATACTTTCTGTTTCTTTTTGTGAAAGGAGGCTGATAGCTTTGATGAACCATTACCATCTAAAGAAACTGTACCAACACAGGGGGCAGAAGGGTCTGATGGAGTTACTAGTTCTGATCCGAAAGAGATAATTGATTTGGGGGGAATGACCGAAGCAGAGTTCTTGGAGGCATTGAAGAAAAATGAAAGGGCAGAGATATGGGGGCATTTCTCCAGAAAGTTTGAATGTGGTAAGATCAAAGCATTTTGTAATTATTGCAAACATAAGGGTTTTGCCGCTCACCCTAAGCATAATGGTACTACTGCTTTGAATAATCATATGGAAAAATGCTTAGAGTACCCACCTAATAAAGAGATGCTGAGTAAAAGACAAAAAGTTTTATCTTATGGTAAAACAAAAGACTTGGTAGCGATAGGATTTACTCAAGAAGAAATCACTAAGGCATGTGTGCATATGGTAATTGTAGACGAATTGTCTTTTAGTCATGTGGAAGGAGAGGGTTTTCGCTATTTTTGTAGAGTTGCATGCCCTCGTTGGAAAGTACCTAGTCGGAAGACTATTGCTAAGGATGTGCTTAATCTTTTTTATTCAGAAAAGACTAAGCTAAAGAATGATTTGAGTGCATATAGAGTGTGTTTAACCACAGATACATGGACCTCCATTCAAAACATCAATTACATGGTACTTACTGCTCACTTTATTGATGCTAATTGGATGTTGCATAAAAGAATTTTGAACTTTTGTGTAATTCCAAATCATAAGGGTGAATCTATTGCTAAACTTTTGGAGGAGTGTTTGGTTGAATGGGGCATAGATAAGATTTTGACTATTACTGTTGATAATGCTTCATCAAATGATGTCGGGTTGAGAGATTTGATTAAGAGAATAAGTACTTGGAGGGTTTCGAATGCACTTTTGCATGATGGTAAGAACTTGCATATGCGATGTGTAGCTCATATTTTGAACTTGATTGTGAATGATGGTTTGGGGCTGCTTAATAAGTGTATTCAAAGCATTCGAAATGCGGTTAGATATGCAAGATCTTCACCCCAAAGGTTAGACATGTTTAAGAGTTGTGTGGAAAAAGTCAAGATAGAGAGCAAAGGGCTTGTGATCATGGATGTGCCTACTAGGTGGAATTCTACATTTTTAATGTTGCAAGCCGCTTTGAAGTTTCGAAAAGCTTTTGATAGGTTGATAGAAGATGATGGTCATTATCTTGGATATTTTCATGGTGAAAATCCAGAAAAAAAGTCAAGGGAAGGGCCTCCAAGTGATGATGAGTGGTGTAAGGCGGAAGTGTTTTCCAACTTCTTGAAACCTTTTTATGAAGTTACCTTAAAGGTATGTTGCTCAAACACTCCAACAGTTCATACTATTTTTGGTGATTTAATTAAAATTCAAGGTCTCTTGAAAGAAACAGAAAATACACTGTTATCTTCCATCTCATTATCTATGCAAGAGAAATATAAGAAGTATTGGGGAGATATTGATAAGGTGAATGAGTATTTCTTCATTGCTATGGTTCTTGACCCACGCTATAAATTTGAAAAGCTTGGTGATGAAAACAGATACCACATTTTCTTTTTAAGATCTTTTAAGTCACTAAAAGCTAACAGTTACTAAAAAACTTATAAAATATCTTTTCAGCTAGTTGTGCCAAACATACCCTTTGCGATATCACCAGGAGCAACTCACTTCACCAGCAGGACGAATGTCCCCACTAATTAGGCGGGAAACCCAGATCCTGGCGGGAAGCGCATTTAATGCTGGAGATTTGGTGGTTGGAGCACCAGCCACTCACAATCCTCCACGTCAGCATAGCCAGCTGCCCATTGGTGGTATAAATAGCAGCATTTATTTCATTGTATAGGGTTAGCAACTTTCTATTCTTAGCATTCTAGCTTATAGCCTCCTTACTCGCAGCTCTACTACTGCCTTGTAAGACGAACGGCCGACGAGCCTTAGCAAAAGTATTGTATTGGGGAGTTATTAACAGATTAATAATACCTAATCACTTACTTGCTACTTACTGTTTCTCAATCCACTTAACTTGTTAGTTGGGCTAGATTATTCATACATACTCCACTCGAAACTCTTGAGCTTACGTGTTGAACTAGAGGGTTGAAGGAATAAACCTCAACACTAGCTCCGGAATCTCTCCCTTGGCCTTAGCCTCTTCTCGACGGGCGTCGCGTTCCAGCTTGCCCAGAGCTCGGATCAGTTCAGCATCATCGGTATGTTGGGCCAGATTAAAGCCAGGGCCTTGGAGTTTGGCAAAAACAGGCAAAGTAGCCTTCACCCCTTCATTGAAGCCGATGACGAAGGAACTATGTCCAACGTCATACAGGAACTGCTCCGACAGGCGAGCACTCTCCAAGACCTGGACCCCGAACTTGAGGCGATCCTTCGGTTTCTGCCTCTCCAGCTCGACCGAGAACACATCGCCGAATGCTCCCCTGCAGTACCTCTGGGCCGAAACAATGAAGGCCAGGGAACTCTCGTACCCAGAGGAGTCGACGAGCCATTCAGGGGCCCCGTTGTTAGGAGCAGGAAGAACCGGGACGAGCTTGAACCCCGCCTTTTCATAAGCAGCAACCTGCTCAGCCGACTCTTGAGCCACCTTTAGGGCGGTCTGTAGCTCCTTCTCCTTGGCAGCTACTTCCTTCTCCTGAAGACGAGCGGCCTCCCGCGCCTTCTTCAGGGCGGAATCCGCCTTGTTTTTAGCTTGGAGGGCCTCACATCCCTCGCTGCTTCAACTTGCAGCACGGAGAGCCCGACCTACAAAGTTGAATACGAACGTAAAACTTCGGATCTCCGGGAAACCGTAATCAACTACTCAGCAGAAGGAAGAATCTTACCTGAAGAGCAGCGGCCAGAGCCGCATTAGAAGCCTCCGAGGACGTTCGGGGAGGCATCTCCACCCCGGCCAAGGAAGCAACCTCCTGCCATACATCGTGAGCCGGGCGTCCTAGGGGAGGAAGGACCGTTTCTTGCTCTTCAAGGGCCGAAGAGCTGGGCCCCTGAGGCCTCTTCGACTTCTTGTCCTTCACCTTTTCCCCGTCATGGGGATGGACGGTTTGCAGAGGCGCCACCACCTCAGGGACGCCAGAGTCAACGTTTGGGGCCTGAGACCCCTGCGCCATTACCGTGGCGATCAGATGCTGTTCTGCCTCCACCGTGCGACGATCAGCCTGGGAGGCGGAGGAGTTAGGATCGGCCATCTGAGCAGCCTTGGCCTTAGCAAGGGCAGCATCGGCAGCCGCGCCCTTGCCTTTCCTCGTCTTCAGGAGTTTGGCGTGATTCATCTGAGCTTGAGTAGGGGGCAGACCTGAAAACAAGGACACAAGACGTCAGAAATTAAACTAGGGGTTTAACTACAAACACTCACCTCAGAGGACAGGACCACCCGGTGCCCCGAGACGAGCGTGGAGGGGAATTGAGAGTCCAGAAACACGGGCGGTACCTATTCCTGCTGCGGCAAGTGCTTCGAAGGTGAGGAAATCATCCAAGGGTCGAACGCCGCCCGTCGAGATTTTCCTGACATCTTCCTCAAGATCGTCGGTCAGATTCGGTGACCCTATCTTCGGTGGATACCCATTCCATCGAAATGGGAGACGAGCATCCTCATACTAAACAAAGAAAAACTGGTTCTTCCAATCATGGATGGAACTCGGTGCCCCACTAAAGAGCCGCCGTTTCGGACGCGCGACAATACTCAAGAAGCCATCAGAATTTTGAGGGGTGAGCCGGAAGAAGTAATGGAACAGTTCCAGGGTAGCGGTATCCCCCCTGTCTTTGCAACGGACGAGGAACGCAGAGATAAACCGGTAGGAATTGGGCATGAACTGTGCAGGGGCCACTTCAAAACAACAGAAGAAGTCCACATAGAATGGGTGAAGGGGGAACCGTAGCCCGGCTTCGATGGAATCCAAGTGTACCATGATCATCCCCGGACGTCTCCTCATCATGTGGGATCCGCCTCGGAGGCTGTAGACGAACGGAGGGGGGAAGTATACCTTAAGCTTGTTAAGAGCTACGGCTGAGAAAGCTTGCTCATGTCCAAGGACATTCTTGATCGGGCAGATATGACGGTCCACATCTATTTTCAGCCCCAAATCAAACACTTCCACATCAGATCCATCTCTAGCCTCAACCCCCGAATCATAGTCCGCTGGACGTTCGTCCCCAGGGGCCGCGCTCTGATTCCTTATGTTATCTACTTGGTCCACCACCTCGAGGACCATGTTGTCCCCCTGTCCTGCAACTACGGCACCCTCTACGATATTTACCACGACAGTAGTACCAAGAGGAGCCCCATCTTCCTGTATGGTGCCCACGGTCGAGGCCGAACCAGAACTCCCAGAAACGCTAGCCTTGTTGGAGGAGCGCGGGGAGGAGCCGGGGCCAGAACCAGAGGAAGAGCCCGAAGAAGAGCCCGAAGAAGAGCCCGAAGAACTAGACCCGGAATCCGATGAGATTTCAATTCCATGGAAGTCATGGGGAGGGTCAGAAAGAGGTTACAAAGAAGGGAGAATAGAACCTAAATTACCTTTGATTAGCGGAGATAAGCTAAGGACCTTGCGGACGAACTGAGCACCAAGCAGCAAAGATTCTAGAGCGAGAAAGCAGAAGTCGGGAACCCTAATCCTAAAGGAAGCCCCAGTATTTATAAAAGAAGCACCGATTCAGGGGCCAATGAGGAGATGACAAATAGCGAGGAGCGTACATGGACGCACGCGCTACGCGTGGAATGGAAGCGTAATGATGACCTTTCCTCGGAAAATGCACCGTCTCTACAGCAGCCATCACCTCGATTCCTGAACCGCCGCCAGCTAGTAAGCCCCGTGGCCATGAGCGTCCACCTTTCCAGAACGCAACAAGCACAAAGTCCCACGCCACGAGCGTCATACCCTTGAAGAGAATTATACTTCCTTATGTCCTGTGCATGCTCAGAACATCAGAAGTGGGGGACTTGTGTTGGGTTAATGGCCCAATACAGTGGCCGGCCCATCTACCCCCTCAATCGGATGAACGTCCAGACAGGACAGCTAAGTTAACAGGGGAATTGGCAAAGACGAACGTCGTAACCAAGACCTTGGCTTACCAGTCCATTCCGACGAACATCCACACAGTTGACAGTGAATCAGGCCCACAGGCCACAAGGGTGACAACGAACGTCGCCAGATCAGGCCCATAACCACTGGAGGCAATCCAATCCATATGGCAAATCCCCCAAGGGCCGGGGTACGAACGGCCCAATACCCTTTGCGATATCACCAGGAGCAACTCACTTCACCAGCAGGACGAACGTCCCCACTAATTAGG